CCTGCCTGGGGCCCTGGATTCCCCGGACCTGCATGTGCCCTCCTGGGCCCTCTGGCTGTTGCATAACACAGCAATCAGCCCTGTGCTGACATTAGTGCTGGATATTAGTGCTCTTCTGGGGGATTTAGATAAAACGAACTCTCTGGGGCTGGAGGTGGGGACTAAATGGCTTTTAATGGCATTAGTGTAAAGGCAAACTTAGTGTGCTCAGGATGAGGGAACGATACAAAACAGGGCGTTGAGGAGAGCACAAATAACTGAGAATGCTGGGGCTTGGTGTTTGTTCCAGGGTTTGATCAGATCCAGAGTTTAATTGTGTACTGGTCTCCAGTTCAGGGGGTGGGGGCTTTTTTGGGAAGGACCTCGATGATCATGAAGTCCAGCCATCAACCCAGCACTGCCACCATGTTCACCTCTGAACCACGTCCTCAAGTGCCATATCCAGATGTTTTTTGAATGCTGCCAAGGATGGTGACTCCAGCACTGCCCTGGGCAGCCTGTGCCAGTGCTTTACAACCCTTTGCAGAGTACACAGTAAACCCCAAAATGCTGAATGCAGGGGAGAAGAGCTGATGTTGCAGTTGAAAAAGTAACTCCTGTGTTTTACGGGTTCCTTTTATCTCCTCAAGCTTAATGTCAGCTTAATGCAGTCGATGCATATCATTTAGAAATCCAGTTTCCATCCTCTTTCATAATTACACTTCTCAGTGTTTGGTAATGCTCTTTATACCTTATTTAATCTTTTTGTTTTGTCAGATGGCTGTAACATTAAGTCCATAAGAGCAAGACATGAGACCAAACCTTTTGTCATTTGGTTGCACTTTGAAATATTAATTTCTTAATGTATAGTAGTATAATAGGAAGAAAAAAACAAACTGTACTTATGGACAGCAGTAAGAAATTTGTGTTCTATCCAGACATTGCTGTAGGCTCTTGGCAATAGAGTTTTGCTGCTAATGCTTGGGTAATAGTGCTTTCCTGAATAGCTAAACCCCAAAATACAGCAGGACAAAGTGCCCCCCATGTTTGTTTAAGCTTGGTGAAGGTGGTTTCTGGCAGTGGCTGTGGGTTCCCTGCTGGGCCGGGCCCTGCAGAGCAAAGTGCATTTCCACTTTGCTGAAATGCTGCTCAGGGTAATGTTTTAATTCTCAACATTTCCCTTCTGGTGGTGACTGAAGGGTCCTGCACATCCTAAAGGCGTGGTGGGGAAGCCACACAGCTCTGACTGTTGGGAATGAAATCCAATGAATGCCAACCCCTGGAATACTGGGAAAGGCAGTTAAACTGTGAGCACAGTGTAAGTTCTTGTGAGGGCTTCTCATGGGAAGGATGCTGAGCCATTCCCTGGTTATTAAGGCCCTGATTGCGTGTGGGGATAGATTAGAGCCAAGCTGGAAGGTAGCACTGCCTCATTTGGGGCGGATTAGTGCTTTTTGAGCAGTCAGAGCTGCAGCAGCAGTGGGGTCACTCAGCAGTGAGGAGCAGCGTGCCCAGGTGGAGCATCAGCACCTGCCCCACGGGTGGCATTCCAGGAACAGCCCCACTTCCCAGGGCTCCATGGCCTTCCTCCTGGCTTCAGGGGTCTCCCACGTGCTGGGGAGCGTGGCCACTCCAGAGAAAATCGAGCTGGCACAGATGGGTTTGTATCTGGTTTGCACTTTGATAGAGAAGCAGCTCCTCCTCAAAAGGAGATGTTTGTGCTGCTGGGAATGATTGTTGTTGCTTGAACTAAAAATTAAAACAGTGCTGTTTGAATTCATGTCTGGTCAGCTTCAAATGGTTATTTGGGGAGGGTATTTCAATATTATTAAATCCCATTAAACTACAGGATGTCTGTGGGGATGATTTTAGACTGTCAGGTTTGCATAACTCTGGAAAAAGAAGTGACTGTAATTTTCAGATTTTTTCCACCATAAGCTCTAAACATCACAGAATCATGGAATGGTTTGGGTTGGAAGGGACCTTAAAGACCATTCAGTTCCAACCCCCTGCCATGGGCAGGAACACCTTCCATATACAATGCATAACGATATTTTTTTATTTAAACTTCCAGATTAATTTTCTTTGATCTTGTAACATAAACTGCATTGTGTTCTAGTTTAATTTAATTCTCAGGCATTGGGCAAAAAATGCACAGCTAGTCCTTGTGTTAGAAAAATACCATCTAATGGGAGCCATGTCTTGCTTCCTCAAATTTTGATATCCGTCTCCATCGAATAGCTGTTTCATTTACTCTGTATTCCTGGTTTATCTACAGGATTAGATGTTTTTCTGGAACCAGCTTCCCTATTTCTTAGTGAAAGCCTCCCTGAACTGCTCTTCTGGAGCTTTATTCTGCCCTGCCTCTGCTCAGTACCCTCCCCTGATTCAGATGCTAATGTGCGGTGTCTGCCGAGACTGGAATTAGCATTTTGAGAATAGATTTGAAAAAGACCTTTTTTATTTGCGTGCTTATATTTTATAAATAGCCTAAAGGGGAGGATGGGGTGTTTTGTAAATGGTTTGCAGAGCTGAAATCCAGTGGGCCTATGATTGCTGTGGCATTTCCATTACCTCAGTCTGTTCTTTAACGTGGATTCTTTGTTGTTAACACCCCCACGGCAGGGATGATGCACTGAACTCTCTTACACATTTACTATTCTTTAAAGCTGGAGTTCTGATGCTATTCCCATGGAATTGGGGAAGTGCAAGCAGAAAAGTTGGTGCTTCCTTGGGCACTAAACTTAACGTAGGTGGTGTTTGAGAAGTGGAGACTGTTGAGATCCTGGGCAGGAACTGGGTTCCTTCTGCTCTTCTCTATTTGTGCAAAAAAGCGTTTTGAAATCTATTCCATATAACTTTTTGATTCTGAAGTCTGTCTGAAAGCATGACTGTGAAATGCACCTCTAACAACTACAAATGTGATGTAGAAATGTTTAGGCAATTGATGTGGTGAAGAAGGAACTGGATTGCCTTTTATGCTGTGTTGTTTTTTTTTTTTATTTCCCCCATGATTTTGTCAGCCCTAACTGCCTGAGTGTGGCCCATTTTCTGCCTTTCTTCCACTAAATGAATGTGGCCTTTCCCTTCTGCCTTTGCTGGCTGTCCTAAACAGCATATTAGTGAAAACAGAGTTTGGTTTTTTTTTTTTCCCTCTGACAACTGAACTGATTCTAATAGAGACTTGTTTGAGAATCAGTTGGGTTTGTAAGATTTTGCTAATAACTTTTAGCCTTAGGTGCAAAGAAGCAGATTTTCCATGTTGAGTAGCCTGTTGCTAAACCTCTTACTGAGCTAAAGCCCTGCTGCAAGTGATCCCTGTTAGTGAAATCCAAAGGTGCCTGTGGTTGGTGTGCCAGGCTGGTGGAGCAGGTCCCAGTTGTGTATCACACACAGGGCACAGGGAGTCTTCATTCTGGGCTGGGGGACAAGTCTGGTTTGCTTGTTGGGAAGGAATCCAAGGCATACTTGATCTAAACTCAGTTCCAAAGGGACAGGCTGGGTCTGCCAAGGAAAGCTGTGCCTGTAGGTATGGATGTAGGAAGTTTTAGAGACTAATTTTGTCCATCCCTCGTGGTGTAAAGGTTTGACTTCCTGGTACTTTGTGCATCTTCAGTTAGATACAAGTTAAAACTGCCACAGCCAACATGTTTGACTCAAACCCCTGTTCAGATCTTGAGGGGCTTGGCTTGGTATCAAGCTGTGGTCTGGCATCTATTTCTGGCTTATGTCACTTTTCTCTTTAAGCACTTCCAAACTCACCTATTTGGTTTGTGTGGTGGTTCAGGGCATGCCATGTATTTATGAACATTATAAAAGACACATTTATTGCACTCATGTGATGCTTTCAGGAGAGTTTAGTTCTGTCCTGCTCAACCTGAATCCTCTCATTCCTCCTGGAAAGACAACTCTGGAAAAATGCTGCTTCCAGTGGAGTTATTCGATGTGGGGTTTGCCTTTGCTGGCTCCCTGTGTGTGAGGGAGCCAGGACAGGTCATTCCAGTGACAGTGGCTGCTCATTCCTTGCCTGACCAATGTTTAGATGCTGCCCCAGCTGCCTGTGACATGTGTCAGAGGTGTTGGGAACTGGGAGAATAAATCCCAGCTGTGGCAGAGAGGAGTGGGAGGATGAGTTAGTCTTTGTTGTGATACTGAGGAGCACCGAAGAGAGAAGTGGTGGAGAGAGGAAGAGTGATAAGAAAGGGTGATAAGAAATAAAGACAGACCCAGAGAGTATATTTGGGAGTCAGCCAGAGTGTAAACAAATCACCCAGGAGGTGAATTTGGAGTGATACCAAATGAGGAGAGGCTGAGAATGGATAAAACCAGGAGAAGGTAACTGAAGAGCATGGATATATATACTGAGATAAGAGGAAATGTTATCTTGATCCTAGTGTTTGGAAGGCTGTAGGAGGGAAGATGTGAGGTGAAATGGAAGTGATGGGTTTATTTTAGTCAAAACAGAAAAACAAAGCCTTACCCTCTGGATGGGATGGGTGGATAAAAGGGAGTCATCACAGCTTGTGCTTGAAGTCTGGTAGCAGGACGGGGAGGGTGTGAATGTGTGTGGGGAGGAGGGATTGTCTGGGTATAATTCTGTGAGCAGCTCTGCCAACATCAAAACCACGATATAGAGCCCAAAGAAATGAGGAGTTTGAATGATGATCTCACCAGTCCAAATTCATGGAGTGCTGGGGTTTAAAACTGCAGTACTGTGTAGAGTAATATAAAAAAAATTAATTGAGATAAGCATGAAACAACTATAAAATATTTTCCTCAACATACAGTAAAGTTTTCCTTGCTTCCTTTGTTGTGAAGGTGTTCTGACAGATGAGTTATTCCATTTTCCTGTGTGGAGAAGTTAGTGAAGAAGGAATTGTATGTCTCACAGCACTGACCAGTTTGTCATTAATGGTGCAAGTCAAAAATGTTGTGTGCTTGACAGATGTGTAGGAAGTAAGTCGTGTTATCAGTGGAATTAGATGGCCATTCAGCTGACTTTGTTCTGCTCTGCTTCACAGTTGAAAGATGCATGAGTGTCATGCAGTCTGGGACTCAGATGGTTAAGCTGAAGAGTGGAACCAAAGGGCTGGTCCGGCTCTTCTACCTGGACGAGCACAGGACCTGCATCCGATGGAGACCCTCCAGGAAAAGCGAGAAGGCAAAAAGTAAACTTCTCTTATTTCTGTTGATTCCTGGGGCAGTTCAGAATAGAATGTGAATTACAGAGGGATAAGTAAATAAATTATTTTTGTTGCTGCTTTTAAATGTGATGTTAATAGTTACATAAAAATCTTCAAGAGTGTGGGCAGAGTTTAGCCACCTGAAAGCTGAGGATTAAGGAAGGCCAGTGTAGTTCAGTCAGATGTGAGCATTTTCCAGAGCTTTGTATGAATTTTGAACAAACCAAAGAGGGCCTCGATAATTATACTGAACTCTTTTCAGTGTATACATCACAAATTTAAATAAACCTGGAGGAGTTTAGGTTGAGGTTTGTTAATCCTAATGTGATCCTTTTCTTCCGGCATTATTACATCTTGAAGTGACTGTGTAGCATTATTTCTCATTGAAGCTGTTCCTGCTGCACTGTCTTAAATTGGAAATGCAAATCAGTGGTTTATTGAATACAATAAAGACTAGAATTCATCAGAACTGTCAGGGAGCCTTGAGATTAAAACCAAGCAGTTGGGAAGGCTCCAGACAGTGGCAGTTGGTGTTTGTGGGCCAGTGGGTGTTGTTGAAGAGCTGTTGGGTGCCATGGCATCAGGAGCCGCCATGTCCCAGCACAGCCGTGGGTGTCCCGGATTCCTGCTGTGGGGAGCAGGGCTGTGAAGGGAGCAGTCCCTTTGGAGCCATGCAGGGGTTCTCTGATGGATGGGAGGCACTTGGTGCCTGTCTCCCCATGCTCCCCTTTCTGCCGCCTCAGCCCTGTGGTGTCGCAGGCAGCGCTCAGAGCTGTGCTGGGACTGGGCACAGCCGAAGCAAGGAAAACCTTCCAGTCAGAGAGGGCTTTTGGATGTGAAGATGTAATATTAATAAAGTGTAGTGACTCCTAACCTGAATAATTCAGAACTGTTCAAATCAGAAGCAGGTTGGCTGCCCTCTGAGCACATCAATCTTTGTTTCCCCTTCTCCCCACAGTTGTCATCGACTCCATTTACAAAGTCACCGAGGGCCGGCAGTCGGAAATCTTCCACCGCCATGCCGAGGGCAGCTTTGACCCCAGCTGCTGCTTCACCATTTACCATGGCAACCACCTGGAGTCCCTGGACCTGATCACCTCCAACCCCGAGGAGGCTCGCACCTGGATCACGGGGCTCAAGTATTTGATGGCCGGGATAAGCGACGAGGACTCGCTCGCCAAGCGCCAGAGGACACACGACCAGTATCCTTTGATAGCCGGGGCTCCAGCTCCTCATTCCCTATTCCTGGTGTGGTTCTTAGTGACTCCAGTGTAGGGTGTCCTTTCACCTCCTATTAGGTGACCAAAACCCTCCCATTGATCGCAGTGGAAACTTGAGTAATGGGTTTGACACAGACACTTGTATGTGAGATAAAACATGGGCTGAAGTCAGGGGATAGTCTTGCGTTTTCTTAATGAAATTCTTCTTGAAGGGTCAAACCAGTTGTTTCTAGTTATCTCAATACATACTGACCCCAGGATGATTTCAGCATTTCTGTCACCTTCTGTTTGCCCAGCTGTGCTTTTATTCTTCTGCTGCAACTTGCAAGGCCCCTTAGAAGACACTGGTTTGAGGACAGTACTAACTGAAATCTAGTACAGGTGAAACCCCGATGTTCTGGGATTCTTTCATTAAACTGACCAGTAACTCCTGGCCATCTCCATTTCCCTTGGTGTAAGTCAGATACCTGTGGTCTTCTCAGCCTACATTGACTGTCAGGAGCACAAATCTTGAAAGAACCTTAAATATTTGTTGTAGCCCAGTAATGCAAATGAACTTCATGTCCACTGAGTATTTTCTTGGTGTGCTCTCTTTCACAACAGTGCTGTCTACTGTTATAGACAAAGAACCCCCTAACCAAAAATCCCCAAACCAAACTGTCTTAATTAAAATTGTAACCTGGCTATTCTTCTGCCTCATGAAAATCTCCAGTGGTCACTTGTCTCCTTCTGGAGAATATATACACCGTGGACATTTTTAATTTATGTTTTCAGTGCTAATTCGGATCCACAGTAGGCACAGATCCATTGGGGTTACATTGCATGCTCTGTTGCACATGTCCTCAGATTGCTATATTTAACCACCACTTTCCCAAGCTGCTCATATTTGCTGTATCTTCTCTCCTGGTGAAACATCACTGTGAGTCCTGTTTGCTTTATCAAATGTGGCAGCTGGGAGACTGCTCACAAATGACCCTGTACCAGTTCCAGCCAGTGTAAGGGCTTAGCAAGAGGTGCTGAGGGATCTGTGTGCAAGGAGGGGGTGAAAGGGGCTGGTGGGGCAGTGAAGTTCAAGCAGAATGAAGGGAGAGGTGGAAGAAGATATCAGAGCAAGCCCAGCAACATTTGAGAACTTCAGAGTACATTTTCAGAGGAGAAACTAGTAGCAGAAATGGGAGTGCAAAGGGGCTGCTGTTGTGATGTAAATAATTGACATAAACCAGCTCTGCTTTTAAACATTTGACTGAAAATGTAGCAAGGGCAGGGAGGGGGAAAAGGGTCATTCCCCAGCCCAGAGCTGGGGCAGGACCGTGTTCTCCTGAGCTGGAGTCCTGGCCCTGCCCTGCCCAGTGCTCTGCCTCCCTTCTCCGTGAGGAGCTGTCCTTGACACGTCCGTAGCTGGGTCAAGCAGACCTTTGAGGAGGCCGACAAGAACGGGGATGGGCTGCTGAACATCGAGGAGATCCACCAGCTGATGCACAAGCTCAACGTCAACCTGCCCCGCAGGAAGGTCCGGCAGATGTTCCAGGTCAGTGCCTGTGGGAAGGTTGTGCCACTTTTGGTCTATTCCTGGGCAGATCCAGAGCAGGGTCTGCAGGTTGGGACTTAAAACTCTGTCCTTTCCAGCACCTCAGAGGCTTTTGCCAAGTCTTACCTTTTTGTAGACAAAGGTGCATCAGAACATTGTTTAAGTGACATGAACCACACAGAAGACAATTCATCAATATTAGTCTTTCAGCTGCATCATTGTTTCATCTCTGTGGATGAATTGTTCTGTGCTGGCATTGATGGACGATGGAGTTACTCTGTTGCTATTGAAATCTTTTTTCATTTCCTTTATGGAAAATTATTTAATATAAACTGGCATTATGAAAGTAATTAGGGGTTTTTTTTTAACAACTTCCTCATACTTAGTCAGAATCAATTTTTTACTTCTGTTCTCTGGAAACAGTTGCCAATTTTCACCAGCCCTTTTTTTTACTGTAGGAAAGAAAAGATAAGCCAAGGACATAAAGGAGAGTAAAAGGACGTTTTGTTAAGTCTTCCAAACCAGTACCAGCCAAAAACTGGTTCACTGTAAAAGATGAAGAATTTTCCATGGTCAAAAATGCTTTGTTTGTCTGGCATAAAATCCACACTAGAGATACATCTTTGGAGCGTTGAGTTACCCCCCAAAGAGTTGAAGTGTGGAAACTGGTGGGGTTGTGTTGTGGAGATGAATTCAGGTAGTACTTGTTTTCACAAATTATAAATGTCATCTAAGATATGTAGTAGATAAAATGATTAAAAATCCCATTCAGCACCAGATAACTGGGAATTATTTTCTTCTCAGCTGACTTGCTGCGATGGGAGTTTGTGGTTTGGATGACAGAGGCACTAATGAGGTGTAATGAAAGGCAGCAGAGGCAGAGTTGTGAAGCCAAGTCCTGAGAGAAAAAAAAAGTGGTTCTGTCTGCACTTCCAAAGTGTGCAGGGATGAAGTAGGGCACTGTTCCTGAGAAGTGGTGGCGGGATGAGGTACTCTCCAGCTGGAGAGCTTGTATTTGTATCACTGTAGGGACAAGCCAACGGGTTCAGAGCCAAGGGAGTGTTAGAAGGGCTGCACGGAAAGGGTTCCAACCTCAATGGGGGGAAAATCACTGTTAACAGTACCTGACTTGGGAATGGCAAGGGGGTTATAACTGCAGAGGAACCCCCAGTATACAGCTCTGAACAAAGGACATGATTCAGAGGAACAACAGCACTTTTCATATTTCAGTTTGTCTCCATTATCTGCCACAACCCAAAACTTACCCAAGTTGTAGCTTCCCTGAAGTTCTTTTTTCATGGAGACCTACTTAGTGCTTGCCTAGAATATATTCTTTGTTTTGAAAATCCAAAGCAATCCTCTTAGGCAGATGTTCACAGGAAAAAGCTTGTATTAGTGTGTGTTAAGTACTGTTTTCTTCCTACCTCTGAGGAGAGACAAAAAATCAAGACTGGAGATGTTTGGTGTATGTTTTGGTGTGGAGTCTTATTGCTGCTGCAGACTTGTCCTCTCTGCAGAGTGCTGAGGGTCTGAAAGTGTTGCAGATTAAATTGATGTGTATTTAAAGCTGTGATATTGTCCTGAATGTTTTAAAATGTCACTGTTGTTGGGGAATCCACGGGGTGACATTATTATGCTCCTTGCTGGGTTTTAATCCAGGATAACTGCAGGGCATACAGGAGGGCAGCAGATCAGAGTAAAGCCCAGGGTGAGCCTCTTTACAGAGGAAATGAACTCAAAACTAAAGAGGGAAATTAGAGTTTCATAGGGAATCTGTGGCTTTAGTGTAACAACTGTTTTCACCAAAAATCCAATAGATGATGATTTAATTTTGCAGTTGTTTTACCGTTAGGATTTGTGTCTGAACAGATCCTCGCAGACTGGAATTTATTACATTTCTGTTGGTGTACACAAGTCCTGTTCTGTTCTATTCCCCAAATTCCCTTGTGTTTACCATGCTTACCTGAGTGTCTGTACCCCTTAGGAAGCAGACACGGATGAGAACCAAGGAACCCTAAACTTTGAAGAATTTTCAGTGTTTTACAAGATGATGTCCTTACGTCGGGATCTCTACTTGCTGCTCCTAAGCTACAGTGACAAGAAGGATCATCTCACTGCTGAGGAACTGGCTCAGTTTCTGAAGGTGGAACAAAAGGTATGGGAATACTTTACATCCAATTGTATGTACGTATAAGTACATTCAGGTATAGGGGAAGAGTATTATGGAAAAGTTTAGCTTGAGGCAGAGCATAAAGCATAGATGTGACAGAAAAAAAAAATCTTTATTGAAGTCTTTATTGTTTTTTAAAATACTTGTAGAAGGAGTTTGAACTTCTTTGGACAATTTTTGCAGTGCCCTGGATAGTGGTTTGGAGGGCACTCAGGGACCTGGAGCAGGAAGAAGAACATGTGAGAGAGGCAGAGCAGCTGACTTTGGGGTGCACAAGGACATTATGAAAGTGCTGATGCAGCAGCAAAACCAGGTTGACTGTCAGGTCTGGCATTCTCCATCTTCTGCCTGCCCCTCCTCAGGCACACAGGGTGGGCAGGGTTGTCTGCTGGAACTGCTTTGCTCAGCATTACTCCAAAACCAAACCCAGCTCTGGTAAATGTACTTCTTGGCTGTGTAGTTTAGAAGCACCTTGCCCTGCCTTTGCCTCTCCCACTCCCCAGCATGAAGAGCATGAGGGAAACCCACCCTTTAATGTCCCCAGTGCCAACCACGTCCTCGGGTAGGGCAGCATTGCCTCCACAAGCTGATAATGCTTCCAATCATAATGCAGCTCCCAGTGCCTTCAACCAAACAGCATTTTGGTTTTGCTCCTGTTTGGCTGCTTGGAAATCTGTGGACAGTCTGTCCTGCTCCATCTGCCACTCATTTGGCAAGACTTTTAAATATTCTGCAGCCTGAGGATAGAACAAAAGCGGGTTGGGTTTTTTGTTAGCTTGCTAAACTGGCTTCTTTTTTTAGGAGAACTCCTGTTGCCTTCACCCCAGGGCTTGTGAAACAGATTATTTCCACTTAAGTGCAGTTAAATTCAGCTCCTTGCTACTGAAATTGCAATTATATGGTTTCAAATGTCAGAGGAGCAGAGAGCAGGCTGGTTTTCTGGGGTGACTTCTGCTCCTGCAGTTCTCGTAGTGGCTGTGAGGGAGGAACATCCCTGGATGTCCAGTTGCATCAACATGCCTGAGCGTTGTCCCTTTGGGAGTGTCCTTCATTACTTTACCAGTGTCCTTGTCAGAGCTGGACCTCCCTGGCTGGTGTCCTGCTCCATGACACACTGCTTCCCAAACAGGATCTCCAGGCTCTTCTCATGACACAGCCTGTCTCATTGCTGACTTTGAGGAGTGGGGCTCAGGTGAAATAGGCTTTGCAAAGACCCTCTTCCCTGATAAAGGGCAGCTTTTGCAGCTTCTTGCCCCCCTGGACCTGCCTCCTGGAGTGAATGACCTTGCTGTGCCCTGGTCCTGGGAGCCCTGAGTGGTGCTGCCCCATGTCCGGTTGCTGTCTGTCCTTCCCTCCTTTCTGCTGCAGCCAGATCACAGCAAGTGCTTTTATTTCAGTCACAGCAGGGGCCTCTCTGACTCCTGTGCTGACAGGTTTTTGCCAGTAAAAGGCTGTTTCAGTGTTCCAGACCTGCTGTGTTTGGCTCTGGTTGTGTGAGCGGGAGGCTCCCTGGGCCCTCTCCCACCTGCTGCCCTGCCATGGATGAGTTGCTTTGCAGTCCAGTTTTCCTGTGGCCTGAGACAAAGGACAGCCTGCTGAGCTGTGGCCCAGCAGCCTTGGCTGGGCTCCAGGGCAGTGCTGCAGGTTGGGTGATGTCCCTGGAGTGCTCCGAGTGACAGGGACCACGTGGAAATGTCAGTCCCACTGCAGCACCTTGGTACCAAACCACTTCCCTCGGTGGTTTAAAGGGCTGCTGTTTTATGCAGCTCAAAGGAGGCTGGTGGCAAAAATTAATGCCCCTGCTCCTTTTAATTGAACTGCAGAGGAAGTGGTTTTATAACAATTACACCCTCAGAACATGCACATGTAATTATGCAAAGCTCAGTTATTTGGTATGAGCCAGTGCCTTTGAGTTAAGCCTGCCTGAGTAAGTTTACTCCTGCACTAATTGTACAGTGTCACAGGAACAACCAGGGATTGGGGAATAGTGAAAATGTAACAACAAGTGGTAGGAAGTGGGGATTAAGAACACTTAATGTTTTGGAACAACTCTATCTGCTCTCTTGGAAGAAGTTTTAAAAGGATGTAACGGGACAGTGTGTGCCAGGGAATGTTTTCTGTGTTTGGCTGGGAGCTGGAAGGATATCAGGACTGAATAGCCCAAAAGCAAAGGGATAGTATAACAATACCACTGTTGGTACCTGGACTTTGGAAAGAGGAGCCTGTGGAGCTGGCTCTGACAGCAGACAAGGAGGACAATAGCAGTGATTTCCTCCTCTTTCTCGTACTTGTACAGTGCAGATGAGGGATGATGCTGAGTCCTACTTTCCCTGTGCAAGAGAAATAACAGGGAAGGGTGAAGGGGAGAAAGGCTGGAAAAGATCTCCATGTTTTTCAGCCTGAGTCAGCACGTGGGTGGAACTGCTTCACTTGTCCTCTGTCACTGTCCTTCTGATGGTGACATGTCTGGTTTTTCCCCCCCTCTGGTAATTTTTCATACTTAGGCTGTAGCCTTTGAGGTGTTATGAGACATGGTCAGTCCTGGCACCCACAGTCTTTAGGAGGAACTCAGCACTTGGCAGGATCAGGCCCATGGAGAAGACCAGTCAAGCTACACCTAGATTTCCATACAGCTGAATGCTGGGAATACTGAGCTCCAGGAAATAGTGGAAAGCACAAATTCATCAAAGGCTGCAGAGCAGAGTAAATGCAATGGGTTTGACCATCTGGAAGAGAAGCCCATTAATAAGAGAACAGTTCACAGAGGGACTATTCCTGGATTTAAACAGTAAATGCTGGGTAATTTTCATGGTGGCTACCCCCATTCCTGCCCTTGCCTGGAGCAGTGATGTTAACAGAGGGCACTGCATGTTGCTGTGCTCCCAGCCTGCTCCACAGGTCAGGGATCTGAGCTGGTTTGGCAGAGGATGCAGAGCACAAACAGGAAACAGAGCAGTGGTACAAATACCCTGCCAAAGCTTGGAGTGCCAGTGTTGTCTGCCTGGGATCTGGTAGTGGAGGAACTGAAACACACCCAAGCAAGGGGGATGAGAAGGGATGAGATGAGTGATGGAAGATGCTTCTTCCTTTTAACTTTAAAGGAAATATGAGTGTCAACTTATAAGTGCCCCACAAGTCAGATAGGACCTCAGCTGTGGAACTTCAGCTGTGGGCTGGTTGAAGCTGTTGACAAAACTTGTGTTTGTTTCAGAAGAGCTGCTGTTTTTCATTTCAGAATTTAATTATTTCTCTCCTAGCCTATGTATTATAGTGAACTCTCTTGGAAGTAATGAAATCACAGGAGTGGAAAATACATGAAAATGTAATCAAACCCTGCCAAATCTTTTTGCATGTCTAAGAAGATTATATTAAAGAATAAAACTTCATAGTTCTCGTTGCAGCAGTATTACCAGTACAACTATTAAGGGTGCTAAACAGCTAATTTTCATCTTTAAAATAAAATGGCACAGGTTTTGAGGGGTGGCTACCTCCCATTCCTATTTTTCTCCTCCAAGTTAAGAGGCAGGAGGCTTGTGTAGCACTGACAAAAATAAAAACTTCAAGTCCTTTTCCAGTAGTATTATTAACTGGCCTATTCACTGGACTCAGTGTTTGATCATAAGGTTTTTCAACTGGACCCAGAAGTCTAAGGCAGAATTTCACATGCTGGTGACATGGTATTAAAAATAACTGCACTCACACTGTTGTTTTTGTGCAGATGAATAATGTGACACCAGAATATTGTCTGGACATCATACAGAAGTTCGAAGTGTCAGAAGAAAACAAGAAGCAAAACGTTCTTGGGATTGAAGGTAAAAGTGTTGATTTCAGAATGAGTTTTGCCTTGCTATACTGCAGTGCAATAGAAGTGCTTTAGTGGTGTTTTGGTGCAGCTCCTAATTTTTGACTGGGACAGAACATCCCATAGATCAGAGTCAGGAGCGTGGGTGGGTTTTTGTGAGCCATGGGGGAGATGTGAGTAGGTGGGGTGAAGCAGCAGCTCATGTTCTCTATCCATCCATCACAGCCATCCTGCAGCAATGGGTGGGTGCCTGGGGCTGTGTGGGTTTATTGCTCGCTGTGTGTGTAAAACACAAGCCATCCCATACCCTGCAGTTTATCTGCAGCCTGCTCCAGTGACAGCCCAGTGTTCATTCTGCCCTGTCTCTGTAGTCTGTGCTCCTGCACAATCCACTGATATATGCTTATGTGAAATAAAATATGGAAAATTGCACTTTCATTGGGTTTTGATGCCTTACTCACATTGTTTGTGAAAGCAATTATAAATGGTATTCAGAATCCAGCTTGGTATCAAATCAAACTCAGAGTTGAGATGAAATAGATTAAATGCCATGGTGTGTTCCTTTGCCCAGAAGGGAACTTTCATGGAGCAGCATAATGTACATGGTGATTTGGGGTGGGGAGAAGTGAAGTAGGAATCTTCTTCCCATGGTATTTAAGTCCTGAGTATGGCCCCCCTTCAACAAGCTCCTGATGTGACCCAGGGCACTGCACTTAAACTGAAATAAGGAAAGTAAAATGAACAAGCTGTGACACTTAAAAAATATTTCTGCAAGCATTCCTGTTCCTCTTAACCTTGCTGCTGCTGCTTTTATCTCTGAGTTGCTTTTGGGGTTGGCATTGTTTGCACTGTC